AGAGCAAAATGTTAACACATACAAATAACATAGATAAACGAGCATCCACTCATTCATGACAACGGAGCAATCTTAAGGTAGGAATATTTATAATATATGCAAGTGACTGAAAAGTCAGATTACAATACATGGGACAAAGAAACAGAAAATTCACACCAAAGAGTGTAATAGACAGACTAGAAAAGAAAAAGGTTACTCAGAAAGTATAGAATAGGCAGTATAAAATATTCAGACAAAAGCTTCACTTTTGCAAAGTGGAACAAATGTTATTTGAATATAAAAATGCCTTAAAACAGATTAAGTAACGATAACACATTCCTGAAATACAGATTTCTTAAACTTCTTGTCAGGTCAGTTGGTCCGCGACTGCTTTTTGTTATAATGACAGCAGCTAACCTCCAAACAAGAGGATGATGAACATATCATTCATTACAAAACCCATCATCTCTGAAAGGTTATACTTTCTGAATCAACAGGCTTCATGAGGTACACAAATAAAACATAGAATGCCAACACTTTTACATTAGCAAAAGCGATGAACATAAAAACATTTTTCAATTACTAAAATATTGCCAAGTGGAAATCAGTTAAGGGCTGGTGGGCCACCTGAGGTCTATTTTGGCTATTACAAGGCCTAGAGTGCCCATATTTGCAGTGGAACATCGTGTGTTATTGGGGGTTTTAAAGCAATGTTCAAAAAGTATATCGTGAATCGGTTGCTATGGAAACGGCGGCCATATTGGATTTTGTATACCTTTTTCAATTCCATTTTATTCCCTTATTTATGAACTGATTCACTTCTAAATTGGAATGCCAAGAGTAAATATGTAGCTCTTAAATTTGGCATGTTGAATTTTTGATATATGCTTTCGTTTTTATTTTATGACACAATTGGGATGTGGCAAAAAAAGTATAAAAAATTGAAAATGCATGCTTTCTAAGCCCATAAATCAAAAACTACTTCATTAATCAAATATTCAACAAGCCAAAATTTAGAACTAGGTGTTGTTGGTTTTCTGTGAAAGTTACATTGAAATTGAACAAGAAACAGAGCAGCAAAACTGGATAATAGGTGAAAAAATAGAATTGTGATAAAACAGCCGATACAGGTAAGAAAAGGCTTGAAAACATGTGCTTCCGTAGAAAAACCTGACAAAAAACCCCACAGCTTTAGGCTGTCGCAAGGCTTACATACGTTTCTGGACATTGTCCAGGAAAAGTCCAGGTACTATAATATGTAATAAACACAATTTGCAAAATTTGGTCCTAAAACACGATTTCTAGGTGCCCCACCAGCACACCAGGCAAGACAATGAAATAATTTGTTTGTAACAGGGCACAAGTGGAAAGTACTGAAATTTCATTGCTATCCCTTAAAGCAAAAAAGACTTTCAACCTTCAAAAGAAAGCTCTCGACAGATGCATCATTAATTGTTCTACTATAGCATAAATCATAGAAGAATTAAATTGCTACGTTATGCTCGCTTGTGGCAAATCAGAACAATGAAAACAATATTTAATTTGGAAAAGAATAAGAAAAGGGGAACCCAGAATAGTACAAAAAGAGGAGACCAAACAAAGCCCTATCCCCTTCTCTGGGTGAACAAGGAACCTTATTTTTAATTACAAAAGTTAAAATCAAATGCTACAATTTTTTCTAGTTATCACAAAATACAACTATGGTAATGGCCAGGCGCGGTTCGTCCATAGAGCACGGTCGTGCAGTGCCGCCCAAATTTTTTTTAATGTTCTAGATCTATTACGTAAAACACCCACAATAATAAAATAAAAGAAACCAGAAACAAACACTTGCGAAATATTATATCAAAACAAGGTCCTCACTGGCGCCATAACTGTCATTTCTGTGTCTATAGCGCTGTAAAACATCTACTATGGCATGCCAAAGTCCACGCGCTTTAGCTAAACAGAAAAGGATATTCAACAGCGTAACCTGACCTATAAATCGCTCTTGAGGATAACCCAAGCGATGACGACACTCGTAGCGAGTTTGGCGATACATTAATATTAATAAGACGGCACATCTCAAATGTGCCCCTGCCGAATAGTTCCGAAACGTAGCCCACAGTAGGCAGACAAAAAATAAACACGAAAGACCCTACGCTATTCTTTGCCAATATTATGTGAGCCCCGGAGCAATCCAGCGGAGTGCTCAAGTGAATTGTGATTGGTTCATTGTTTGTCTTGCCACTATTTTAAGTGACTCTGTGACCGTGAACCTGAGGGAGGTGAACGTAACCGTCCTATGAGTTGTGCCTTTGAATGGTTTTGTAGTGGAGTAGTGAAAGTTATTACTTGAGTGTTCAGTTCCAATACAGGATGGAACGAAATTGATGTTTAGCTAACAAACAAATTTAGCACTAGATCTAGAAATCAAAGCGACAAGTAAAAAGAATGAAAATAAAAGCACGAGACCCTCGACCTCACCAACCCAAAGATCCTAAAATTATACAGTCTCTACCTCTGGTCTCTACTATGCCCTTGACTATCTTCAGCATGCGATAGCTTAATTATTATTGTGCATGTCCACTTATAAGCCCCATGAGCCGCCCCTGGTAATGGCATTTCAGCATATGTGGGAAGGGGTTAGTCAAGGATGGGTTCAGAGAGATTTTGAGGGAGGCTGAAAGGGGGGGGGGGGGGATGCGGTGAGTTTATGACTATTGTTAGCTTATCAAGTAACAGTCCAGCCTAGTTGATATACTATCTACATTCAATACCAGTTGTTATAAAGGTGAAAGATAGGCTTCTATCTTTTATTTCAAGGCCTAAAAACCTCTTCGTCAAATTACTGTTGAGCTCAGGCTATGATTTTCCTTTCTCTGAGAGTCATGAAAAGAGTTATTTTTGTAGTCTTATTGTAATTATAAGCCATTTTAGGCTTGATTCTTATTTATGTAACTGCATCACAAATGCAGAAAAAGATTTTCTTTTAAGAGTGAACAGACAAAACTATAAACTTTTAACATTCATGTGCATTCCATTGTATTACTGTAAGACCTGTGCAAATTCCTCACCTGTTCATGAGCAACAATCCTGAGGTCTTTCCCCTATCCGCCACCCGGGGACGCGCCTGGCAGGAGATGACAGCTCCTTCAAGGAGTGTTAAGTAACAACTTTTACGTAAGCACTCCAAGAACCAGGGATCACAGCCAACCATTATCATCCAACCCAACATGTAATTGGCAGCGTATTGGTCTGTCGATGTTCCATGAGTTATGACAATATGTGTCACGACGTGGTGGAATCAGGCGCTTGTCAATTTTGGGGCATATGGAGTTATAGGTAGTATTTTAAAGCTTGTTCATTTGTCTTGCATTTGGCGAAAATAATACCAATTTAGATCTATTTTGAATAGAAGTCGAGATATTTGCCATTGAAGGAGGTGGGGGTAGGTTGATATGAAAGATAAAATAAGTGAGAAAATGGCCACCAAAGTTTGGTGACTTCCAAAGCTTGAGTTTTATTGTAAACTGGGAATTTACATTTTTTGTGCCTTTAATGAACATTTTTCGGTAACATCCACACAAAAATAGTTTTTTTTAAAAATACACAAAAGGTGTTGAGGCAAAAAAAATTAAATCGAAAAAAATTGCCCAATGCCTAGAAAAATGCCGGTTTCTTTGATCTCACAGTTTTGACGAGCGCCTGATTTCACCACGCTGCCTCACATATTTTCATGGAAGTGACTCAATAATTGTTTCCATAGATCAGGGACATCAAGTCAAAGTGAAATATAGAAGAAACATTATTTTGCTGCATTCTAGCCCTCTATGATATGTACGAATTTCACATTTTGAACAATCTCAGCTTTGCATTACACGATGGATTACTCAGAATTTGGATGTCTTCAACCAAGAAAAAGAACTCATCAACTACACAAAGCGTTTAAGAACATGATTTCGATATATGTGTATCGAGTAAGATAAGAAGCATAGAGTAGAGCTTGTTGAAATGAGAGGACTGAAGTAAATTGAAGAAGTACAGACACACAAAGGCAGAACATGCATCAACAAAAATACAATGACCTTGTCCATAGGCAAATACTTATATTTGGGAGAGGCAGTGGAGCATTGCAATGAAAGTTTGAATGGAAAAGCAAATTATGACAATAATGATACACATAATAACACAGAGAATAATAAGAAGTATGAACTGATAGAAACTGAGAGAAAAAGAGAATAAATATGACAGTAAAACATAAAACCCGAGAACAGATAGCTTAAGACAATGTTCAGTTTACAGCGACAAGAAAGATAAATTTATATCAAACATTTATGAAGTGCCACTCAATGTAACATGTATTTATGGAAGTCTCGGGTAGACACTGTGAAAAAAGACTATACTAACAGACAGAAAGCAAAAGGAGAACTTAAGGATGATGAGGGGCAAGTGCAAAATGTAAAATATGAAACATAATACATACTGGAGCAGGAAACTATGTAGTGATCAGACAAGAAAAAACACAGGCTTTTTGGAGAAAAAGAGCAGTCTTCAAATACATGAATGTATATGTTTTAAAAACTGTTTTAAAAAGCAATGACAAAATCAGTCAAATCAAAGAAGGATTCAAACGCAAAACAAAGCAGAAATACACTGAATATATATACACAAGGCAGAAAGCATTTCAGCCAAAACCTTAGAATCAGATGTATTGTTTGTATTAAAATGTTGAGTTAAAATGCGGTACTGAACAAAAAGAGGTCATTTTAAAGGTAGGCTACTCATTGTAGATATGAAGGGGGGCGCAAACCTATCATTTCAAGACTGGATGTCCTGTTGACACGCTCGAACAAAAGAGTGGCTGGAGAGAAGACATTGTGTAAGAGGCGATAAAACATGCCACTTTATCTTACAAAGGTTGTGGCCCAATACAACCAGAAACTCCTGTCGTCAGGACAGGGAACTTTAACCAATTTTTCACGTCTGTGATGTGATTGGTTTATTTATATCTTGAAAGTCATTGGTTTGAAACAAAAACGTTTTTGTTATTGTTTTTATGTTTTGGGGTTGGTTTTTTTTCATGAAAACATTTGTTTAAAAAAGTATTGGCCAATACTGGGCACCACAATGTCAGCCTCATGACTCATGTCCTATACTGATGACTTGAATTTATTACACTTAGAGAATTTTAACTCTCTGTAGTAGGTCAAGGCCTACATGAAAACAATAACAGATGAGAGCCAGTGTTTTGCATTTCCTTTATACATGTCATTGTATTTCCTGGGTGTGCAGTGTCATATGCCATCTGACTCTATTCACGTACAAATCTGAAGAAATATATTCCTATGTACAAACTCTTTTAGTAGACTGTCAAGGAGAAAAGTGGTCATCTTATACATGTGGCTTTCTTAATCTTACACAGTGTCATTCTAATGTATGGCAGAACTACAGGTGATAATCTTATACCAGTGGCTGTTGGTGAGCAGGTTGTACTGTATATAGGGTGGCACTCAAAAGTCAGGAGTTCAATTCCCTAGTGAACAAGTACATAATTTAGTTGAGTATCTCTATCTTTCTGCAAGGAGGATGTTCTCTACTAAATCCCAGCTGACTGAGATAGATAGGATTGGAGCAGCCCACCCTAAAAAGGGTCCACATTGTGCCAATGGAAGCATGAAACATTTACAATCAAACAGAGGACGAGACAACAACAGGAGACTAATTTTACTCTCTTTCAAAAAGGCAAATAGCTCTCAAAACTAAATAAAAATCTACATAAAGCAAAAGAATTATTCCTGGGGTAAAATATTTATCCATTTAGGGGCATCAACATATTCTCACACATTTCATTTTTGGAAGGGAGCGACAAACATGTTTATCGAAGAGAAGCCATCACAATTGCTCGGATGTGACCCCTGCACACTGGACACTCCCGCATTGCAGTGGAGCACTCCTGGCATGCCACAAGGTGACCACATGGAAGGAAAACTACTTTGACCTGGTTAAGAAAAAAAAAAGAAAGAAAAGGTTAACTTTACAGTTTCAAGTAAAAGTTTTAGGTAATTAACAAGCAGAAACCAAGTCCAGACTTTATGTCATTCATACCCTGAATTCAGCTACAGTCAGTAGTAGCCTACAACAAAATAGTGATGCTTTCAGTAACACTAATGAAAAAGAAAAATCAAATGCAATTTCCTGACAGTGGCATTTTCCAATTGTCCTCACAAAAGAAGGCCCTTAGCTTGGGATTTGCTGATAATAATCCTCATATCAAACAGCCTGATTCCACCACGACATGATCATCTTCTAGTGAATTTTCCACAGAATCATCATTTCTTGAACACATTAACACTTACAGTACCAAAGACTCATACAGTTAAAAACCCTCAAGTATCGCACCAGTTTAGAAAGCTGAAGCCATGGCAGATTTTTTTTTAATTAAAAAAATCTTCGTAGCCAAAGACACATGTTTTAAAAATTCACAGAGGTTCATCAATCATTCAGCTATCATATAGTGTGACTTCCTTTGGTATTTACTCCGGTGCAATGGCTCTGTTCGTTGTTTAGTTAAGTTTAGTGCGCCTGTTCGAGTCAGCGACCAAATTTGCCAGTGGTAATGAAAACATAGTACGGCCTGGCAATTTAAAGTCGCTGATGGTAATAAAAGTGTTAAACACCCAACAGCTTCTTTCCCACAGCTGAGTCTTAACCCTGATCAATAACCAAAATGGTAAAAAGCCCAAAATAGGTTGAAATACAATTGTGAGCCAGCGCTGAGAAATAAGGTGCTCGTCAAAATACAGAAATCGGAGAAACATGCATTTTTTCACCAGTTTGGAAAATGTTATCCAATTTTTATTTTTGGGCTCAACCTCTTTTATGTCCATATAAAAACACATTTCCATATGAGTTTTACTGAAAAACATTGATTAAAGGTACAAAGTATGTGATTTTTTCTGTTTTCAAGGACTCTTTAGCTATTCGAGTTACCAGATGTTGGCGGCCATTTTCTCGCTAATTACATCACTGAAACCAAGCAACCCCACCTCCTTCAATTGCAGATATCTTGAGTTCTATTCAAGATAGACGGATATTTATTTCATTGGAAGCAAGGCAAATAAATAAGCTTTCAGATGATACCAATAACTCCAAATGCCCCAAAATTGACAAGCGTCTGATTCCACCGCATCATGACACAATTAAGTTCTGTAGAAGATTCACAAGAAACTAACATAATCACTCACTTATCTCATTAAGGGAAAAGGGTGAGAAAAACTGCAAGGAAGACATTTTCACATCACTCTCACCTTTCATTTCTTTCCTAAAGTTGGTATTATTATCCTTATCTGCCATCCAGCTCTTATACAGCCAACAATAAGAGGATGAAGCACTATGGAATTCAAACTCATCCTCAATACATTCAAACCTTACTCATAGTTCAAGGTTCTTACACATTTTTTAAACCTCATTCAAGCCTTTAAAATGTTTGACCATTTAACAACCACCATCTTTTCAACATACCTCTCGATCCATGCAGATTTTGCAGGTCAAGTTGTTCCTCAAACCCCGATTTTCTTCAATAAGCTCATCTAGTGGGCCTGGAAAGAAGGAACATCGAGGTAACGAACCCAAGAATATGACAAGCAAGGAATATGATTAGTAAGAGAGTGAGCAGCTTCCTGTCACTAGTATCACGATAATAGTAATGTTTAACTAGTAAGCAGAACAGACTAAGACATTAAGAACGTTTTTTTGTTAAAGCTTGAAAGTGCAGACAAAACAAGAGGAAGCAGACAAAACAAGAGGAAGCAGACAATACAACATCACACAGACAAAACAAAAGGAAGCAGACAATACAACATCAAGCAGACAAAATAAGAGGAAGCAGACAATACAACATCACACAGACAAAACAAAAGGAAGCAGACAATACAACATCAAGCAGACAAAATAAGAAGAAGCAGACAATACAACATCAAACAGACAATACAAAAAGAAGCAAACAATACAACATCAAACAGACAATACAAAAGCAAGCAGACAATACAAAAGGAAGCAGACAATACAGCATCAAACAGACAATACAAAAAGAGCACACAATACAAAAGGAAGTGAACAATACAACATCAAACAGACAATACAAAAGCAAGCAGACAATACAAAAGGAAGAAAACAATACAACATCAAACAGACAATACAAAAGGAAGCAAACAATACAAAAGGAAGCGAACAATACAACATCAAGCAGACAATACAAAAGCAAGCAGACAATACAAGACGGAGCAAACAATACAACATCAAGCAAACAATACAACATCAAGCAAACAATACAACATCAAGCAGACAATACAAAAGGAAACAGACAATACAAGAGGGCTCATTTACCACCTAGAAATGACAACAATGATGATGAGGTCACTCGAAGGCAAAGAGCCGGAAAGCACAAAAGAATGATTCCAAGTTGTGTGGTGGAGGGTATGTACAAACATACTTATACTTTTACCACTGTTGTATATCTTTGGCTCCTGGGTTAGTAAAACATTCTTTGAGAACAACCACAGCTGACCAGATATAAAGTTTTGTTTGACCCAATCCTTGCTTTTGTGACCCACAGAGACATGCACCATTCCACACCAATGCAATCTGATGCAGCATCACTCACTGACTCTGTATAAACGCAAAATGAATAAACTCTACTTTGACAGCCCATAGCTTCTTGTGATGAACTCCTGAGCTGCTATTAGTACCTATAATAAGGATTGGGTTACTCTGACTTTATCCTGTCTGTATGTCCTTGAATACATTCCAAACGAAGAAGTATGAGCCATTTTTCACCCACCTCCACTGTCTGTAACATCATTGTTAGACTCCACCGTCCCCCCATCCTGGTTCCGATTCATGTATTGGAACAGCTCCTCTGCTGACAGGGTCAGACCTAGATATTTCAAAAGAAAAACTCAGTGTATGCAAAGATGGGTACAGTTTCAAAGTTTTGACAATCTTGATGAACAAACTCTACATGTGGTCAGATCTGTTCACAAGTCATATCTTCGATGTAACAAAGAAAAACAGCAGACCAGTTTAGATAAATTTATCCCCCCACACACACACTGTAATAAAATGCAAGTTTATCTATGCATAATTTTCCCCCCCCCCCCCCTTCTCATTAGAAGATTGAAAGATAGGATGGACAAAAAAGATGCGATGAATTTAGAACAAGAACAGGAAAAAGATCGAGAGGAAGACCTAAAAGAAAGTGGAAAGATGGCATCAGAGAGCAGATGGATACAACCTTGATACAGAAAACAGGTGATTAAACAGAGTAAAAGCTGTTGTTGGAGACCTACATCCTGCAGCGGATGGACAACCCTAGAAAGATAGATAGTCTAGTGGTTAGGCTACTGTACTCGTAATCGTGAGATTGTAGGTTCGGGCGTTTGAGCTTCAGTTCCGTCCCAGGTTGTGTCCTTGGGAAAGGCAGTAAACGAAATTCCCATTTGGCTCAGGCCTTTTGGAGATGGACGTTAAACTCAGAGGTCCTTCCTCTTCAATAACCTTACAGTGTTGATAGGGGGGTTAAATCCATACTCTCTCTCTCTGTCTCTCTCTGTGTCTGTCTCTCTCTGTGTCTGTCTCTCTCTGTGTCTGTCTCTCTCTCTCTCTCTCTCTCTCTCTCTCTCTCTCTCTCTCTCTCTCTCTCCCTGTCTCCATCAATTCTCTCCCATCACTCTCATCCTGTTTCATTATTTCTGCGTCCCTACTATTCCGTTTGCTTGTGTAAGAGAATTTCTTAGCCTCAACGATTTGCCATCAAAGTTGCCTTCACTGTTTATAGCACGCTGAAGCATTGCCCTGCAGCTTGAAGTCACGTTATCCTTTGGCATTCACGTTCAAGAACCATATTCACTGAAAATGCTCTCAAATTTTCACAGCTCTTTGGACTTTTCCAAAATTTCACATGCAGCGTTCTTGAAATGAATCACGTTTTCCAAGTTTCCACTTGGTACAATCCCTTCATTTCCAAGAACTAAACTCACAACAAGATGAGTACCAGCCATCATACGGGGAGCAAACACAACCATCTATACTGTCCAGAGAAATAGAAATGGCACTCAAAACCAGCCCTAAGTACAAAGCCCCAGGACCAGATGACATCACAATGGAAGCCATATGAGCTTGTGGAATCATCAGTGTACTGTGGTTGAGGCAAATTTTTAATAGAGCCTGGGAGCAAAAGAAATGCCCAGAAGACTGGCAGAAAGCTACAGAGGTACTATTATTATGGAACAATAAAGGCAACAAACATGACTACACATCATACAAAGGCATCACTGTGTTAAGGCCACGCAGAGAAAACATATATGCGAAGATAATAGAACAGCGGATAAAACCCATTGTCGACAGAAATCTGAGCGGAGTACAGTTCGGATTCGGAAAGGGGAGAGGATGCAGGATGTTGTATTCGCATTACAACAGCTATGCGAGAAAACCATCAAACACAACAGAGAATCCAACATCATCTTAATTGACAAGGAGAAGGCTTTTGACAGAGAAAACCATGCCAAACTCTGGAAGACACGTATAGTGTCAGAGGAAAACTGTTACACAATGTCAGAGCTCTATATACCAACAGCAGAAGCTCAGTAAGAAGAAAGGAAGGCAATACAGACTGGTTCAAAGTAAGATCTGGAGTATGACAGGGATGCGTTTCATCTTCCCTCCTTTTTATAATCTATATAGACACAATACCGCAAGCTGCAAACCAAAGAAACCCTAAATGAACTTGTATTTGCAAACGACCAATGTCTCATTCATCCAAACCAACAACGCCTCCAAAATCACACTATCAAACTGAACAACAGCTGCAAGAAATTTGACAAGAAAATAATCACATCAAAAACAGAAGTAACGAAAGTGAGCTGGAATCATAGTCCCCTGAACATCCATGTCAATAGTAAACAACTGAAACTGGCGAAGAAGTTCAAATATCTTGGCAGCACTTTTACTGAAACGGGTCCATAGACAGAAAAATAGAAGGGCAATCTAGAAAAAGCCAGCGTGGTCACCTACCAGCTCGCATCCCTTCTATCTCATCCAAGCATCTCCATGGGCACAAAGAGACAGGTTATCACTTCAATATTTATACTACCATTATGCTACCAGTGCCCGAAGTAAAACCCAAGAAAGCAAATTCCCTACATACGAGATGAAATGTCTCCACAAAACCTTTAACATCACAAGAAGAGACAGGCAGAGAAATGAAGAAGTGAGAACAACTATTGGCATCGAGCCCTGCCTGCATTTCATAGAAAAACAGAAAATAAAATGGTTTTATCACCTGTTACGAACGTTACCTGGCCAACCAGCATTGAAAGCCAATAACACCAAGCACTCGGGCTATAAAGGAAGAGGAAGGCCACGTTAAAGGTAGATTGAGGGAGTCAAGGAAACTCTGAGAAATTATGATATCCAAATTGGAAGACCTGCTGAGCTGGCCTACCATAGAAAACTGCATCTTTCCTAGACGCTTAACGGCAACAGAGAATGAAAAAGTGAAAGTAAAGCACAATTCCTTCATACTCATGGCTAGGGTAAACACTTATTGAACATCCTGCATACAGTGAAACTCAGATTCAACGAAAACTTGGATTCAACGAAACGAGACGGATTCCTAGGGGTTTTTCTGTCTTTTTATTCATTTAAAAACAACAAAACAGCAAACGTGGGCAATCTCGGATTCAACGAAGCCGTGTGCCGGGTGAACAGTCCCCCACTGATGTGGCTTAGTGCAATTGTCTGCCACAACAGAGCACAGCTACTCTATTCCAAAGGGTCATCAATCGTTAGATTAGTATATTGCGTACAATTTATGTAGCGAATCAGAAGCCTTCTTTCACAACAACACATGCGTTGTTGACAAGCGCGTAAGACAAGCCATGTCTTAGAATGCGCCGGGGTCGGGAGAGGTCGGATGGACGGTCAGCACACTTCTGGCTGTTACTGCATGGGTCTAGGGGGGGGGGGGGGGGGTGGGAGCGTAGGCACAAACGTTGCGGGCAAGGAAAGTGAGTAGAGATGCGGGCACGTCACAATCATACCCCCCCCCCCCTTTCCTCAACTACTGAACAAAGATAGGCTAAAAGCTTAGGCATAGACGTAATGAATTGAATACTAGTCTGTGGAACCAAACATTGCTGCCGTCTGCTAGGCCATTCACTGCAACGCAACCTTTTGCTCACATTGATATAACGAACACTTAGATTCAACGAAATTGAGGGTTAGACTGGACGACTTGGTTATATCCGAGTTTCACTGGACCTTATGCGTGTCTACTCAACTGTGAAAAAAAGTACGCTTCCCTTTCTTTTCCTTTTAACCTCCTTTTTTCAGAAATATAAGCATTATCCCCCTCTCTCTCTCTCTCTCTCTCTCTCTCTCTCTCTCTCTCTCTCTCTCTCTCGTGCTCGCTCCCTCCCTCTTTATCTCTATCGCGCTAACACACAGACACACTAACACATGTAGACACACATACAACCATGATCCACACATGGCAAGTATACCCAGACATGCACCAAATCACTACTCACCGGATTCTCACCACTTCTCTTCCTGGCTTGTACAGCGTCTATGAAGGTTTGACCCATGACCTGCCTGATATAGGCACATTTGGGGAAATGGCGTGCGTGCTCAACAAAAGGATTGTCTCCCTGCTCCCAATTCCGGAGCCCCCCTTGACAGAAGAAGCATCGGGTGCTGTCTGCATAACCTGAGGACCAAGGATACAATTAATAATTTTGTATGTAGGAGCGCTACGAATTGTCGATTAATAATATATGATAGAGCAACTGAAAAGGAACCTAAATTATTGCTCTAGTGCCCCAAATAGGAGTCTTTCTTCGGGGACACTTTCAGTGTACAAGTACATTAGTATTCTTTCCTTCTCTCCTGAAATCGCTGCATTTTTGTGTTACTTGACCTTTGGCGTAATTAGATTTATTTTTCTGCCAACTGCTTATGATTGAGAATCAAACGGTATGCCGACTTCTTTTTATAAAAGAACAAATTTATACTTGTTTTCATAACAAGTTTTACCTAACAATGTTCCTTTTTTGTAAGAAATGACTATTTTTTATGTTAAAATCAGCTGACCATTTCAAGAAAGTTGCTGTTTCGGATTTGTTTCGAATTAACAGATTCACAGAAAGCTGAAAAAGTGTGTACGCATGTATGTCGCTACAACTTTGTCTCGAATCGGTGTTGCTTCGACAGCAAAACTGCTTGGCTAAACACGAAAGAATGTCCTGCGTCGAATCAAAATGGGTCTCTAATAGATCAAACGATGTACACACTTATAAATCTACTACAACAACAACAACAAATCATTAAAACACGTAAAGTTTCTATGTTGCCATCAGCCTTCCCATGAAAAACAAGAAGTACGGTAGCCTATTTACCAAAATGAAAATAGGTATGTCGCTCTCTACTGTAAAATAAGACCTGTCTGATCAGATTTTTGCCGCATTACTATTGATCATACTTTAGTTTTAGTAAGAGTTTTACGGCACTAGCAACACAATAAAGTCATAAAGTGCCGAAGATCAGAGGTGTTACAAGAGAGTAACAAACACAAAAAAAGAAGGAGGGGAGAAAAGACGATAGATGTTTGACAGAAAAGAAAAAGCAAACCACACCAGAGCACTCGCCAACCACCCACACTATTGATTATATAATATGACTTAAGGTCTATCTCCCTCAGGGAAGAACAAAGAGCCTTTCAAATCTACTTAATTATGCAAAGTACAGTCCTTCAGATGGGATCCTCCATTCAAACACACATATGGAGATTATTGGGAGCACCGGTTTTATTTCTTTGTTTCGTATTCAATTGTTCGTTTGCAATCTTGTGAGATGGGAAGAGTTAAAATCTCCTGAATAAATATTGGTACGAAAAGTGAAACAATTTTTTAGACAGATTGTGACTATAAGCCGGCCTCTTTATCTTGTCCCTGACCTCCCTTACATCACCCAGTAGTGACAGCTAGGACAGAAGCGGGGTACCCACCAACAAAGAAAAATCCAGCTTTTGCCGCATCCAGCGCGGTGACAGGACTGTCTTCTGGCCACCCCGCGAAAGATTCTAACCGCGAAGCCAATATTGCCAAGTCCTGACGCCGCGGCCGCTCAGAAAAGATGCCAAGTTCCTGGAGGGACATCCTTAGCCCGTTTGTGTTCGCCGCTCCGTCTCCTCGCCTGCCCCTGCCAGTTGAGTCATGACGACCCTGAGAGTCAACGGGCGTGTTCACAGTGTCGACAGCAAACGAGTTCAAGTCACCGTTTATGCTTGACCGGCGAGGCTGGGGACCAGATGCCGAAGAGCCTGCAGCCGTGGCTGGAGTGTTGATGGAAATTGGCGTGGCCGTCATAGCAGCAGTTGTTGAAGATACCCCCAAGGCAGAGGACAAAGCTGAAGAAGACCTGGAGTTGGAAGCACCCCTCCGTCTGAAAGGTCCAAAATCAACACTATCCACATCTCTAACCGGCTCCAAGGCTGCGTCATTATCCCACGACACGGCCTGGGCTTCATGTTCATGGGACGCAGTGATGGCCATCGTATTGGCTAGCCCAGGACAACTTGGGTTGAGTTGTCGGTGTATTTGGTTCACGTTGTCTGTTTCCCGCCAGTGTTTATACCTCCGCAAACAATATACGCAGATAACTTCATCATGGGCTGTCTCGCCAAGGTAAACAAAGCCAGATGCGGCCAGGGTCGATGGAGATTTTGCCAGGTCCCTTGGTGCAGAGTGGAAGGATGCAATTCGCCTTGTCAGCTCATTGAAAATCCCCTCATGAATTCCATGGAATACACTTTGAGTACGATTCTGACCAACTCCGAGCATGTAGATATGTTGGAGTTTAAAACCATTCCAACATAAGGGCAACGGCCGATTGGGAGATAATCGATAAAGCCAGTTCAATCCGTCCTCAAGACTCTCATCCTTTTTCTTTATATTGGAGGCCATTGATTTCTCCTGGGCCGACAAGGCAGGCTTTTTGGAAAGTAGTATAATCTTCAGCGGAAGGTTTTTGCGTTGAGTGAAACTTGTACAATCCATCAATACATCTGTTGGGGTTTCTTTTTCGTTGTCGTTCTGATCATCAAAATATTGACTTTTGCAAGTCTCGGTGTCTGAAAGTGCAATAGCAGGTTCTCCAGTTTCCTCAAAACACAGAGGGAGAGCACTTTGCGCAGTTGTCGTCTCTGGAATGAAAGGATGGTTATCCAAAGAGTCCACCATACCAGCTTCCCTTGGTACTGACTGGGTCTTACATGGGTTGTCACAGTAAGGAAAACCCAACTGTTCTCTTGAAGACGCTAGGTTATTACCCAGGGGACTCACGTCACTTGTGTTTGGAGCAAAGATGTCTTTTCCATTTGGGTCACTCATTTTATTTTCATTCTGGAAACTGGTGTCGTTTTCGTTTGCGTTATACATTTCGTCTTCATCGCGGACACTGATGTCATTTTCGTTTGGAGCACTGATGCTGTGTTCGTCTGGGACACTAGTGTCATTTTTATTTGGGTCAGTGAACTCTGCTTCTTTATGGACATTTATATTGTCTTCATTCGGAAAACTGTTGCCACATTCATTGGTGGCCATGGCGTTGTCGTTAACAATGGCAGTCGAGCAGTCTTCATTCAAGACACATGTGTTGTTTTCCCCAGGGAGATAAGCAAAGTTTTCAGAAGGTCTATCCTCCCTGGCGACTGCAGCAATATGACTTCGCAGAGAGGTGTTTAAGAAGTCTGCTGCAGGTGTGGCCACAAGATTTTCACCATGACCAGATGCGTGACTTTCAAATGAACTGGCGATCAAGTGATTTCCATCACATTTGGTCAGCTTATTTTCAATCTCTTTCATGACAGCAACATCACAAGAGACCATTGTCAGATTATGCACATCTTCTCCCTGATTTTCAACAGAAACCATAGAATCATTGTCAATGGATGGTCGTATTCGGACTCTCTTAAGGCGGGTCGTTTCAACAGATTCAGACCGTACTGCAGTCTCAGAATGGGTTTCAAAATTGATAGAAAGCTTCAATGGGTGACCCTGGCTACTGTCGGTGTGGACTGATTCTGCTGATTCACTCGTATTGTGCTCAAGAGAGTTGTCAGCTTTGGATTCACCTAGGGGGGTAAATGGAGCCTCGTATGTGACCCGTTCACAATGTCCTTGTGTGGTACTTGTGCCATTCTCTATCTTTTCTCCCAAGGCTTTAGCGCATAGTCCCTGAAAACTGCTTTTTTCCTCATCCAACAGTGGTGATAGCGTAATACATCCATCCTCCTCTAGATCTTTTGGATGCAGAGCATCAGCTGTCGACTCTTTACCGAACTTTCCTTCCAATTTGTTGACAGTCTCCTGGACTAAGATGTCCTTATTTAAATAAGGAATATCCAGTTCGTGGATGACTTTGTAATACATAAGTTCTATATCAGACAATGAATACTTAGGTGAACTGACATCTACAAATTGTCTGCCAGCATCATCAGCATCATCACATCTTGGCCCAGGATCAGACAGTTCATTCCCACAAAATAGCTGACTATCCACTTCCAGTCTTTCAGTCTTGTGTCCACCATCGATGGGCATTTTGTCCGTGCCCCTGTTCACTCGGTAAAAGGCAGCACAAATCACTTCTAGCTTGTTTATCATGTCTGAACAAGAACGACTGACCACTGGGAATCCAGAGACATACTGCCAGACTTTGTCAAGAGCAATCTTCTTCCACAAGATGACCTTTCCCATGACTGTCCAAATAACAAACTGTGCTACGGACCTGAAAATCATCCATGCCAGAGAGATCCCAGTCCATATAAATTTGCGCAGAAAGTTATCACACAGTTCGTTGCCACAAAACTGCTTGGGGATCAGTTCATCTGCGAACTCCAACGCCTGCGCTTCGTTCTTATCCCAGACCACATCGCCACACATAGCCGTCAAAGTTTCTTCGTTCATCTTACAGCACTTGTCTTCACTGGAGAGAGGAGGGGAAAAAAGACCATGTAAGATACAAAAGACACATAACAGCTTAGCTTTGTGCAGTCGATTATAAACATGTGTATACTGACAGTTAAAGTTCCATTGGTTCCACCGTCATAACGTTTATACATTTGTATAAGGAAACACAATAAAAATGGACACACTTTTGTACGGTAAGTTTGACAGCCGTTGGCAAAGACCTTTAAAGCGTTACAATTGAGGCAAGTTTTCATCTTTTGTTCTCAGCCGTGAATTACGCATTGTAATTAGGTCGCCTGTGCTGAGAGGATAGTGTCGGGCAGCTCTCTGCAGTAACACACACACACACACACACACACACACACACACACACACACACACACAAAGATAACGTTGTCAACGAAAATTACATAGGCCTATTGTATCGAGACCGACCTAATGCTCACTAATGCATTTCTGTTGTCTCTTCCACATCAATCCTAGAACTCCTCGCCTCCCATGGACTTCTCTGTTTCTGCTTCAACCTGCTCGATGAGTTGCACTGAGGAGTACCAGGCATCAAATCTTCTTAAGTGACAAATATCCCGAAATTTACACTACAACAAAAATGGAAATGATCAGGTCACTTCGGCAGAATGAAGGACGACATAAAGCATTGACGAACCCCCCCCCCCAAAAAAAAAAACCCCAAAAAAACAACAACAACAAAACAACAACCCCCCCCCAAAAAAAAAACAACCAAAAAACCAAAAACAATTAACAACAAACAAACAAAAAAACAAAAACAAAAACAACGCACGGAATGGAGACCAAAAAAACAGGGGGGGGGGGGGATTTAGAGGTACCGCAATAGGAGATTAAAAGTTCTAAACTCCTTGAGGTACCGTAATCTGAAAGAAGATGGCAGGATGACATCAGCAAAGAGCAGAGATGTGGGTACAAACTAGAAATATAAAACAGCTGTTAATTAGATAAGTGGACGTCGATGTTGGAAGTGGACGGACAATGCTTGGAGAGAAAGAAACACACACACACACACACACACACACACACACACACACACACACACACACACACACACACACACACACAAGCACACACATAATGTATGTTGTTGTTATCCATCCAGCAACAGCTGGGCTCTCGCCCTTCTGTCCAATGCCAGGTAGTGATAAGTGCAGGTTTGCTGCAGTTGCTACATAATGTTCCAAAAGAGTGTGACACATAATGTATAAATACATATATCACACAGATGAATGATAATATATAGAATAAAATGTTAAAAAATTAATAGATTAGAACTAGAATCAAAACTATCCAAAGAACGATCAATCCGACCCAATACGTATACTAGGCTATACCTGTCACAATGTAGTCCTACTAGCCTATTTAGCGCTCAGTCACTTATAATATGTCGGCCTATCACTGAGCTGCCGTCTTACTGCACTAGTCTTTGACTAAGGATTCGAATCTCACTCTTTCAAATTAAATCACATCATTGGATCATCAGTCTTCAAATTCCAATGATCACTTATGTGTGAGTGAAAATCGGGACATTTTGGGTATTTACAGCATTAGAGGCAGCAGTCTAACGAATGTGAAAAGACCATAATCCCTGGAAAGTAAAAGAAGACCTCTTAAGATCGAGAATGGCACTGCCGTTTGCTACAGGATAATGTCATGTTTATTCAACACAGTCGTTCGTTGCCAACTGCGAAGTCAATGATAGGTGCGCCTACTGCGAAGTATACTTTATATAATATAAGTACCTATGCTCGGCATCTGTTAGAATTGGGAATTTCCGCATTAAAATGCGTTCAATCTATATAATTCCCCCCCCCCCCCCCTTTTAAGGCTTTGATTTGGAAAACTTTAAACAGGTTCTTGAATAGCCATACAATGAACCAATACTCATCTGCAGAACTGCATTGAAAAGTTAAATAGTGTAGTGAACAAAGTATTAAAAATTGCTTTGAAAGGTCGACAAATTTATGTAGTTATAATATAACCAGTGCTCACAAATCACAATAGATCTATATATTGACTTATATTCTATATAGAGGCCAATATATAGGCCCCTATAGCCATTAAAAGCTTATGCTCAACTATCTAGAGGGGTAAATATTGTCAGCGACTAAAAAAAAAGTAGGCCTAAATGTATTTGAAACAATAAATAACAGCCAACATTTACATTCTAAGCTTTGAGTTAGATGTAAATATGCCTATTTATACATAACACCTATTTAGAAATCTGTGCAGTGTTCAATGAGGGGCCCAGCATAGAGACTGATCAATCGAAGTCGAGGAGTATCTTAATTTTTTATGTTTTGGTGCCTAAAACTTATATATGAAGGATAAATATAAAATAATTGTGAGGCATCGTGGTGAAATCAGGCGCTCATCAAAATAGTGCAAAAGAAGATATTCGGCATTTTTCTCCCCTGTCATAATTTTTTCTAATTTTTGTTTTTTGGCTAAAGACCTTTTATGTCCATATAAAAACACATTTCCATGGGAATTTTACTTTTAAACATTGATTAAAGACTCAAAATAAGTCTTTTTTCAGTTTTCAAAGAATCTTTTAGCTATTGTAGTTACCAAACTTTGACGGCCATTTTCTCGCTAGTTTTAATACTGAAAGCAGGCGACCTCACTTCTTTCAATCTCAAATATCTTGAGTTCTATTCAAGATAAATTGATATTTATTTAATGGGAAGCAAGGTAAATAAATCAGCTTTCAGATGTTACCAATAACTCCACATACCCAAAAATTGACGAGCACCTGATTTCATCCTGTCGTGACCGATATACATGTACATGCATAAATAAATATAACAGGGTGGCTCCCATCTATAATTAGAGTATTAACGTTGGGACTGACGTGATGTCCCTGTTATTATACTATTGACGGGGGAATCACATTTACATACATACTGTACTGTAACAAATGATTTATCAATGGGACCACTTTTAATACATATAGATATCCACTACCAATTTATCAGTTATTGCTTCTTTCTTTTTTAGTGATATTTTTTCTCTTTGTCTTTATCTTCTTTTTAAAAAAAGTATTTTGGTTTCATGGAGGTTGACTAGACTTGACATAATTTGAGGTGTACAGGTAATAATGATGCTCATAATAAAAATAAAAATAAAAATAATAATAATTTTGGATATATAGCACTTACCAGCTCGCACCCCTCCTATCTCATCCGAACATCTCCATGGATACAAAGAGACAGCTTATCACCTCAATATTCATACCAACATTATGTTATCAGTACAAGACTTGGACTTTAAGCAAAACCCATGAAAGCAAAATCACTGCCTGCGAAATGAAATGTCTCCGCAAAACCCTTAACATCACAAGATGAGATAGGCAGAGAAATGAAGACGCAAGAGCAGCTATCGGCACTGAGTCCTGCCTGCCTTACATAGAATGAGAGAGGATAAAATAATTTGTCCACCTGTTACGCATGTCACCAGACCAGCCAGCCTCAAGAGCCTACAACACCAAGCACTTAGCTCTATAAAGGAAGAGGAGGGCCTCGCAAAAGGTGGATCAAGGGTGTTAAGGAAACCCTAAAAAAAATAACATCACAACTGAAAGAGCTGCCGAGCTGGCCTACCATAGAAAACTGCATCTCCCCTCGACACTTAACAGCAACAGAGGATGAAAAAGTAAAAAGTAAAGTAAGTATTAAGAAAATTTTCATTACCCTATCCCATAAATTTTGTGATTCTTTCTGATGCACCTCAAGAAATAAGCTACAAAAAAAAAGTTTTCTTCCACTGTAGTTGTTGAAGATCTCACCAAATAATAAAAAGGTTTTGCTTGAAAAATAATAAAAGGCCGGCTCTATAGCTAGATTTCTCCGAACGCTCAGGAAAATAAACTTGAACTCTATTTCTCCTAACGGTTTCCGTTCTCGAGATTCTTTGGTTATTTACGAATGGAGTGGCCCGCGCTCACGAGTGTGTGTGTGTGTGTGTGTGCGTGTGTGAGTGTGTGTGCGTGCATGTGGGAGTGTGTGTGTGTGTGTGTGTAAAGTGGGAACGGGGGGAAGCGGGCGTGGAGGGATTTTTAAAAAAGTTTTTGCTTTAAAGGTGACTAAATGTAAAATAGGTTACTGCCAAAGTCGAGAATGGAAACCATTCGGAGAAATAGAGGTCAAGTTTATTTTCCCGAGCGTTCAGAGAAATAATTTCAAATTTAAAAAAGCCTGAGGTTTTTTCAACGTCCTCAATTTTGAGATAATAGTAACATAAAATACTTCTCAGTTATCCATCAATGATGATTTGGTATTATTTTACTTTCACGCCCATCTTATGTTCGGCCTAGATCAATTTTTTCGGATCTAGCTGGTATTTGATGTTTTTTTATACCAAATTAACTAACAGGCACAATATTGTGTGGTAAAATTTTGCAGGTTTATAACAAACTGAGGGGTTTCTGGGGGACATGCCCCTCCCCCCCCCCTCCTGGATTTAACCATCCATTATTGTTCCGCAAAAAGGTTTAGGAGTTTCTTAAACAACTGAAGTGAGAGGGCTTTTTAGTGGCCCTGTACTCTGTTACGTGTTCTTCTTAGAGAAAAGAATAGGCAGGCGCTATTTGCAGCGCTGCGTTCTGAATACCTCCAGTGCTATTTGAAACGCCACGTTCTGAATACCTCCAGTGCTATTTGAAACGCCAGTACTAGATCTAGATCTACATCTAGTATCCATCGTTTCTACATAAAAATATTGTAGTTCTGTCTGAATTGTGGAAGTTTTCTTAGTTTCTTGATAAACCTCCTAGGATTTGACTCCTTTTGTTATGACGTTGTCTTATTCCGATCAATATTGGGTAGATCGACTAGATTAGATCTAACAATTGTTTCTGACATTATTTGCAGAAAAGTAGACTAGACCGTTTGGCATCGAGCACACACGCTGTCCATTCGGCCATCAGAACTTACGTCAACGATTAAGCATTAATTATAATTTTACACACAGCGACACAGCGTTTTATTTAGCACTGGCGCTAATCGCTAATCGCAACGCGGCGTTTTGTTTAGCACTGGCGCTAGCTAATCGCAACGGGCCGTTGCAAATAGGCACTTCCAAAAAAATACGCCCGTTTATTGGCCCTTTTTCGGTAGTTCCCACCCCCCTTATTTGATTGAGCCTGACCTACATCTAGATCTATATACGTTTGATTCGCGGCAAGCTAAGATATCAAACCTAACAACTGCAAAACATTAAATTGTAGTAAAATTCAGGGGGGCATGCCCCCCTGAAACCCCCCTACTCTTGGGGCCAATACCGGCGAATAACAAATGCGGGGTGGGAACTACCGAAAAAGCGCCCGTTTATTAGCCCCCCCCCTCCCAAAAAAAACAACAACTAACAAACAGAGATCACCTGCAAGGGGGTGTGTGAAAGTAAAACCTTACTGGATTTAGATCTAGATCTAGATATCTAGATCTAGACTCTAGATCTAATGATTTTATCACATTCAAATCTCTCACCATTTCTCATGAACACTATGCTGAATGAATACAGTGAGAATACAGTAACAAAACATCGTCGATAGAGTAAAATGAAAATTTCAATCAAGGAGCGATCCTTTCCGTGCCAAAAGTGATAAAACATATCCAACAAAAAAAACGTTACAAACCTGGTATTTTCGAACAGTTGTATGAAAAACTTAGCAGAAAATCGTAATCAATTTATGAAATTCACGTCTTGCGTCTTTGTATCAGGCAGGCGAATGCTGATGGTTGTCTAATTGTAGGCTAACATCAGGACCAAGAACCGAAACTGACATTCGGCGGAATCTCCTTTCCTTTGATGGTTAATGGAAAATACCGAAGAGTATTTATAATGTTCAGTCGTCGGCCTGGGATCACCTGTCTTACAAAACAAAACAACAAAAAATAAGTAAAAATAATTATTTCAGGACATTATCAAAAGAGTGGATGCTTAATTTTGAACAATACAAGTTTTCTTTTTTTTAAAAATAAATAATATATTTTTTAAAAATAAGACAAACAAGTCCTCAGAAAAGACATAGTTTTTTCCGTCGCCGGATTTTGGCTACTCCTACTTTTTTATTTTGAACTATAAATAACACCAAAGCCTGTTTGGGAAATCCCGTACAAACTAAGAAAACAAATCTTTGCAAAATAATGTTTAGAAACATTTGGCAATACATACAGTTATTTCTAATTATACATTTATGGATATACAGTCATTTAAAATGTGTTTAAAAAAAATTAATTTGCCGTAAAGAAGTGAAAGCGCTAAAAGGAGATAGAAAACAAATAGATTAAAACTCAATTACTTTCTTTCTAGTTTTAATGTTCAGTGTTACTGTTGACAACGGAAGTTGATTATAAAGCATTTGGTTTCTTTCAGGACGTGACCATTTTACTTTCACATAGTAGTATACCCAAAACTCTCCAGTTTTCCCTGAAGATTGAAGATAGAAGTATCTTTAGAAAATGCCTATTAGCCAGAATCCCAAAGAATGTGGTAAGAGAACAGTTAATATTTCGTGTACGCTTATATGCATTCAGTCCATCTAGGCTATCGACCATCATAGTCATCATAGATAGATCTAGAATCTAGTTAAGTATCAACAAAGAAAGGCCACCAGTCATAGAATAGATGGTATTTTTTTACTTTCCCTCCCGTCTCACACTCAGCTACCAGTTGTCTATTTTCTACTAAATATTGATGCGCTGAACACGAATATCAACTTCATTTCCGTCGCAAATTAATGGTTTTTGAAATATTTGATTGTTTTTAACCGAGATAGACATGCTTTGGACCAATCGGGGGGTTCCGGGGGGCCTGCCCCACTGGGGTAAAAGAAAATCTGGGGGGTTACAGGGGGGCATGCCCCCCTGTTTTTACACCCATAATTTGATATTTTACAGTTAGATTTGAAATTGTCTTGAAAATAATTGATTTGCGACAGTTTTAGTGGCTTTATGTGTGATCTGCAGCAAACAGTACAGCAGTTTGACCCCTGAAACAGTGCATCTGTGTGCGGGAGTGAAAGTAAAAATTTACCGAATAGATTAGAAGATCTTCTATAATTACATAAAAATTCTCAACCCTGGTGAGAATAGCTCATGACCCGTTATTCTCACCCCCACCACAGTGTGGGCATGAGGCGAGGACTCCCCCCTGACCTCTCGCAGCCCGATAAAATCACCTCCTATGTAGGATAGGCCTGCTATAGGTGGCGGTGGCTTACCACTTGTGGTTGGGAAGAAATGACTCATGAGTGCTTGGCGCTTGTTTCCCCATTAAGGCCAACTAATTAGCGTTGCCATAGCCTTGATTTTTTATATTTTTAAAAAATCAAAAAGCCTATTCTTAAAATTAGGCTATAATTGTGAGGACTGGTAGGTATCAGATACGTTCTGTTTTTAACATTTCGTTCTTGCACATTAACCATAGATCTAGATCTAGAGTGGTCTTGCTCAAGTGCGACTATGTCGGCCGCGCGGCTAGTCCGAGCGTTAATTGATAATTAAGGTTTGTCTTGTTTTCGTCTTCCTGCCATTGCGCAACCAAGTGACGCTTCGTTTTTCGTCTGAGTCTTGAGTATTCACTCCAAGCCGTGAGGACACCTTTGACCCCAGAAAGATCGACAAACATCCATCCCTCCCTGGTCCAACCTTCGTTCTTAGCTAAAAAATAAGGCCGGCACTATTTCTCCGAACGTTCGGGAAAGTAAAGCTGGGCACTATTTCTCCGAACGTTCGGGAAAATAAAGCTGGGCACTATTTCTCCAAACACTCTGAAATCTCATCCTTTCCCGCAAATTTAGGATATTATATAGATCTATAATTATAGTTTAGGCCTACCAAAGATTGTTCGTATACAATATGGTTCAAGCGGTCCAAAAAATGTCCGCAGTAAATATTTATATAAAGAAATGCTACAATTCCAAACAGTTTTTCGCTACAGATATGACGTGTTGCCTATGAAGGGTGCTGCTCTTAAACGTAATGTGTTGTGTTCACTCGTGTGCTGTCTAGATCTAGATCTACGGAGGGTTATTGATAAAGACACATAGAACTGGCATCTGCGTTTGTCACTGCTGCGACCAATGTACTGACACTGGCAAGCCCTTAATGTGTGTGATTCCATAATTTACATGTCCTGTACTTTTTTTTAAAAATTACGCACATTTAGGGTTAAAACAGCCAATCTTCTTCGGACAGGTGGACACACGCCCTTATTTGTTAATGTCTATTGTTGTTTTTGGGCTGTTCTAATTTTGATTTCTTTCTGTTGTGAAACCTTTCTTTTTCACGTTTTTACACTCATCTAAAAATCTCTAGACTAGATCTAGCTCTTGAAAATTGAAATAAATATAGACCCAAAAATTTGCTCATGTGTGTGTGTGTGTGTGTGTATGTATGTGCGTGTGTGAGTGTGTCTGTGTGTGGTAGTAAGTGGAGAGTGAGGAGTGTGTGTGTGTGTGTTTGTTTTTCGGGCTTTATTTCAGCTTTTATTCAGTAACAGTTCAAAGTATACAAAAATAGAAACACAGGATCCATTCACTCCAGGGCTCATGAGTCATTCGTCTCTTTCAGTTTCACTCATTCATTCAATTCCCGTGTTCTCTCCCGCGGCTCATCCCTGTCCACATGACTTTCATACCCCACCACCTCCCTCCAGGCACACACAAAGAAAATCTTACTCATTCCCTTGCACCCTGCGAACCATGGACAGTAATATAGGCAAAACACTGCCTGAGCTGCATTCCTTTCGTTCGCGAGCTGTGGACCAGGCCAGGGGGGTCGGTGTCATAGTCATCGTCTTGTAGTTGCTGTCGCCTGTGGATACACTCGCACATTCTTCCTTTCACCCGCTCTTTCACTCACACTGTCTCTCCATCCACAGCTCAGCTCGTCACACGTTCAAAAGTTGCCCACTGGTCATGTTTAGTTAGTGTGTGTACATGTGCATGATGGTGGTGGGTGTGTGGTGGGTGTTACTGAAGGTTGTCCATAGGCGGGCTTGCCATGCGGTGTTCATTCCCAGACCAGAGGCAGAATGAAAGTTGGTGCCGACCTCTCGCAATAAATAGGCAAAAAATAACGAGACCGGAAGCCGGAAACTGTTCGGAGAAATAAAGATCGGCACTATTTCTCCGAACGTTCGGAGGGTGAAATTTTCATGACATGCAACATAAAAAATGATGGGGGGAAAAAGCCACATAAAAGAACAAAAATAAAAACAAAAATTGATAGCTTAGGCATAGTTTACACTTATAACTAAGAACTTTCTTTCCCAGCCCGCAAATCCCATATAAAGAAGATTCATCACGACAAATCTGACAAAGATGTGGCATACTTCAAAACTCTAAAGATCAATTTTCAGAAATGAAAATCAGTGAAACCGATGTTTGCAGCCAACATCGATCAAGCTGATGAAGGCTTACGAGCAACATAATATTTATCTCAACTAATTACAAAGGCAGGGAAACACCATGCTATCGATGAGAACCTCATATTGCCTGTGATAAGAGAGGTGGTCAGCACAGTCCTGCAACGTGCCCCGGAGCCTGTGTTGAAAGTTTTCTCACTAAGTGCAAATACCATTCAAAGACGTTTAGATGAGATGTCAGCTTATGTTGAGGAATCACTATGCAAAATGCTGAAAGGAAGTGACCTCAGCCTTTAACTGGATATCAGTTCATAGAGGTTGAGGAAATAATGCAATATTTGTTATTTGCGAAAATGTCGGAAACAGATACCAAAGGCGAGTCCATTTTCAAAGTTGTCCAAGAATTTTTCGAGGAGAAACAGATCCCTCTGACCAGTACAGTTGCCTGTGCAACAGATGGGGCACCGTCGATGGCAGGTCGGAAACGTGGATTTATGAACTTCTTGAAGAAATCAGTCCATGGAGTATTTACTGTTTACTGTGTCATTCACAGACAGAATTTGGTTGTAAAAAACCTGAAGGATAGTCTGCATGACACACTGGCCATTGTCATCAAGTGTGTGAACAAGATCAAAGTCCACGCTTTGAACTCGAGACTGAAAATGACGAGTACTTTCAATGCTAATCTTTTGCACATTGAAGTCTGGTGGCTCTCGAAAGGAAACTGTTGAACACAATTATTGTTCTGCCTGTTTGACTCTGTGCTGGAGGTATTTTTTTTTTTCAAGAAACAGACATTGATCTCTGCAAAAAACTGAAAGAACACAAGAACAACATTGCGCTCCTCACAGATCTTTTCACAAAGTTCAACCAGTTCAACTTTCAGCTGCAGGGGGATAACACCAACCTGATCTAGGCTTTCGTCATTCTTGTCGAAATTGGAAATGATCCGCCGAAACACTGGCAGAAGAAAATTTTTCAGTTTCCTAGCTTGACGAAGACACTGAAAGAAGGGCGCATATCTGACGAGAAACTACAAATATATATAGCAACCACCTCAGAGATTTGCACGCTGATATGAAGACAAAGTTTAGCCCCCTGATATTTCTTAACTGGAAATTCCATACTGGATACTGGACCCATTGAACACTGAAACAAAAGATAACTTGCAAGTAGCAATTGAAGAAGAGCTTCTGACGATGAAATGTGACTTTGAAATCTAACCATTGTTCAAAAAGCCGTACCAGTCATTCTGGTTGAAAACTGTTGTGCAAAACAAATATCCCTCCCTGTGGGAAAAGATCAAGTTGTTGTTCATCTCTTTTCCCGCCTCCTATCTAGTAGAAAGGGGATTCAGTGCAGTGACAAGGTTGCTGACGAAGCGTACTGATATGTGTCTGCTACTGACCAATCTGAAACCTGATGTTGATAAGTTGGTTCTGTCTTAGCAGGTCCATCCTTCCCATAAGGGTAGTGTCAATAACTTATTTGCGCATGCTTACTCCGTAGTTTACCCTTACTTGATATCTCAATGTGTCTTTTCTTTTTTTTTTTCTTTTCTTCCTTTTTTAAAAAGCAAAACATTCACTTGTTTAACAGAGTTTTTTATGTGCACGTGCTACCACTGTTGATGAAACTGATGATGATGATGATGATGATGATGATGACGATGATGATGATAATTACAGACTAAGATCCATGCATACTTTTTCTTTCATGTGGTTTCTCACATTTGAACAACTTAATAATATTTTTATTTTCTACAATGGAGATATTTGATACAAATCTCAGGCAACTGTATTGTAGCACGTTGATGGGAGAAAACGTTTCATATAGATAATGTCAATCTGTTTTCAAACCAATGATCACGGGCGTTTTTATTTATTTATTTATTTTTTGGCGTTTTGCTTCTGTAAATGTGATAATACATGTTTTATTTTTATTGATGTTAATAACACTGGTCGTTTAGTACCGATGACAACTATATGCATAAAATGACAGTATTTTGCTCTCAATGCCCTTGCATATGATTGGAGAAAAAAAATGTGTTTTATTATCTCTCATACACGCTTAATTTAAAACTCTGTAACGATGGTGATTTGTGAATCAACTAATATTCAGAACTAAATCATTTGAATTCAGGCACGTTACTTTCTACTCTGCTGTTTGAGCTCTCTCTTTATTTGTTATTGTTATTATATTATGCATGTCGTTATGTCAGATTGATGATTGGGATGGAGTAGGGGGCGCTGGGACTCGGCTGAGTGAAAAAGGGGGCGGTGGGCGAAAAAAGTTTGAAAACCTTTGGTCTAATTTCACCACGCTGCCTCGCATAATATGTAATATGGTGGAAAATATGGCTTGGGTTGTTTCAGACCTACATGAAATGAAGAGAAAAATATGCTCTTGCTTGTTTATAACAAAACATGTTTTTTAGTATGTGATTACTCTCACACACACACACACACACACACACACACACACACACACACAGACACACACACACGCACACACACACACGCACACAGACACATGCATCCTTACACACGCACAAACCTTGTTACCTCACACACACACACACACACACACACACACACACACACACACACACACACACACACACACACACACACACACACACACACACACACACACACACACACACACACACACATGTGCGCACACACAGGCACGCTCAAACATAATTGATCATTAATATAATTTAGTGTTGATTGCTCATATTTACATGCTAAGACAGTAAAATAACTGTAGGTCTAGTCTGCTAGATCTTCTGGAAGCTCTACTGTAGGGTCAAAAACTATTATCACTGCTTCAGAAACAACGCACGGCATATTTTTCGATACCTTTCATATGGGTCTAAAGCGACAAATGATGACTTTTTTATATAATTATATACAGTGGAAACATCTGACAACGTCTGGATTTGGTGAGAGCACAGCATTAATGAAGGTGCTCCATTTGCTAAGCTATTATCGCTATTTCTCTCTAGTTTGAATCCAGGTATGTGTGCTCTTGAACATATGGGCTGTGTAGATGGTTTTCAATAGTTTTCATGGCTTCCTGTCACATCCTGGCGGAGAAGGACATAAAATCGGAGAAACACCATCTCAAATGACCTGACAGTTGTAGTATTCCGGGAGGCGTTCCACAACCAAATCAAACAGATAAAGGAGACAAAATCTACATATTGAAAACAGTACATCATAATTTTCTTTTTGAAAAGTGTTTCAAGTCTTGTGCTTTGAGCTTTTGAACATGAAATTCTAACGCACGGGAGACTTCAATGTGAATGGAAACATTAACGGATGCCATTTTAACAGCAAGCTTAAAGGAGTTTTTTTACCTCTTTGTTTTGCCTCAAATTGGAGGAGGATTAACTGTTCTCATTTTACAATGACCAAATCTTGTACAGGTGGATAGATTTAAGAATTGCTTTCTTATTAGATTTTCTTAGGGAAGATACAGGGTGATTCCCAAAAAACCTGTACACCTTTTTTTCTAAATATCTCGCACAAAATTTGTACTAGAATGTTATGATTTGGAATAGATATATAATTCATTCAAAAGGAATTTGTATGACTTAAAATTCACAAAGAAAAAACTTATTTTTAAAAACGAAATTTAAAAGATCTTGTAAGGGAATTCTTGAAATGATTGGTTTGATTTTGTCCTTTCCTTTTATTTTGTTAAATCTAAATTTTCCACCACTGCACCTGTAACCTTTAAGGGGAGACGTACACTCCCGGAAAAATGTTCTAAACGAATTTCTTTTATTCACTTTCATGTAATTGTGCAAGAAGTTCATAGGTAAATAGGATGTACTAGGGGTGAATTTATTGAATTTTTCTGAAAAATGGGTCTCTGTGGTGGCCATCGTGGATTTTCAAACCAGTTTCTTAATGCAGAAGAATTGCAGAGTAAATATTGAATTATCAGCACACAAGTACAAACCTGTATGAACTGGGGATCCATATGAGGATTTTGACCTATCTTTAAAACTAAAAAAGTGAGCCCAAAGTCATTGGACCCCCGAGAGTCAGTTGACAAAATTTTTGAGTGCATATTACAAAAAATTTGAATATTTCCACAAGTGACCAATATTTCCCAATTCCCTCACATAGATCCCCAGAATAGATCTTAAAGCACATGTACGCCAAATTTGAAGCTTCTAGCTTTAGTAGTTTTTGAAAACTCCTTGCACCAAGGAGGTCACATAAGTCAAAAAGTAGATTCTGCGAAAAACAGAAAAAACAGGGATTTTTAGAGCAATTTTGCACTTTTGAGTTTCTTCATTTTGACCTGATAGAACAGATGTTGAAGGATGTTTTTCTGCAAAAAATCATCAAAGGACAGGGGCTCATCAACTGAATTCTGCACCCTGGTGACGTTTAAAGGGGTGCGAATGGTGTGTGTTTGACCTTAAATGGTAGCTTTGTCTGGGAATTTTTTGTTCTGGTTCTCTTCAGGTACTAACTGAGGAACCATTTCCGCCCTTGACATCAAAGAAGGCCTTAGGGTCACTTTAACATTATTTCTGTACCTTGTGTGAAACTTACGAAATGATTTGGTGGTGAGGAAATGTTCAATACAAAAAGCTCTCCTCTCTTTATTAATCTTATCCATGATCACAGCAGGAAAAGAAAAACTATCTGCAAACTTCTGTTGGCCTTTTAGACTACTGTAGTATGCAATATGACTTAATCGTTGGGATTTTTAGTGGTAGGCCTTATGCGAACTAGTGCGTCGTGCTACAAAAATGGGGACATAGCTGAAAATGGGTTGTTTTTTTACACGCTATTTAAAACAAAACCATTCCGTGGATTTTTTTCTAAAATGAATATCAGACGAATTTCTTTTGACTTCCAAAATATTGTGTACAAATTTGAAGCGCAAAACTTCACTGTGGAGGAAAATATTAACAAAAAAAGTTGTACAGTTGTTTTTTTCGATCACCCTGTACTCAAAGTCACCCTCTTTGTCTTTCTCCGACACCATTTTCCCAATGACGGGGACACACTCCCCAATAATCTCAAGTTCAATGACAACAAAGTTCTTTAGGTTCCACAGGAAGGGCGCCACTTTTGAACAAGAACCCAGAAAGCCAGTCTTTTCGGGTAGATTTTGTTCACATTCCATGTTTCTGGCATGATTATAATGTTCACCATGACAGATTATGATGTATGTATTATGACAAATGTCAGGTTGAAGCAAGACTGTTGAATGTTTTATTGAATACTCTGAGAGTTTTTTCCTGAGAAGTCGACCAAAATGTTGTTTAAACATAAACGAGTGTCTCTAAAACGCACTGATGTCTTCGCATCGTTTTAAATAGAGTCTTTCCGAGTGGATTTCTTCACATTGTACATAGCTTCTGCATGATGCAAAGACAATGGGTCATTGTCAAGTGCATGCATGGCCAGTTTCATCTTTTCATGAACTAAAAGGCTCTTTTCTGTTTAGGGCTCTATATTTTCTTGACATGGTTCAGTCTGGGAAATACAACAACACAAGTATACGTTTTTAAAATTCAATTTCATAGAAACTCTGATTGCAACTACTCTTACTTGTCTTACATCAGTTGTCGGAGACTTCAGACAGTATGCAAAGTAACCCGGGCCTACCCTTTGTACGAAGTTTCCTTACATGGAAATAGTGTAGGAAACATGTTCATGATCAGACGTCATGAAAACTAGGATTAAGTTTATGAATTTGGTATAAAACAGACACCGTTAAGTACAGATACATATTCCTGGAAAAAAACTGATGCACTATTGTGATATGTAAAACTTACAAAGTGAGGTATGAAAAACTTAGATACTCCCTTGTCAAAAACACAGTTTCATTCACAGCAGATGCAAGATTTTGCTCAGTGAGGTGGCAAAAACACAGCGAGCCAAACCTCAAATGACACGTAATGTGATCCAGTGACAAAATGTGTACTATCAATGGTTTAGCGAGAATTGACATGTCTGAAGTTTCCCTATGTTCGAGGCCTCTCCGCTCTCCCCTACCTCTCCAGAAATTAGTGCTCAAGTCTATGGAAAAAATTGGATTAGTAATTCGTTGCAATGTAATTATAAATAATGGTGATGTGACTATTCTGGATTATATTGGATGGTGCCATTGTTTACTTGGAATTTCCAGCCAACACAAAGTGTTAGATAACATCCATGTAAAGGTACTTTAATTTTTCAAAATAAAAACCCTTTTCAAATACCCCTACGTTCACTTTGAGTACAGTACTTGCATTTTGACATTGTGATGATCAAGCACTGTGAGGTGTTTTTACGTTATTATCATAATTTATGGAAAGAGGCAATAGCGTCTTTTTTCAAATGAGAGAAATCTATGGTCTCCATTTTTATTGTCTGTATTATACAAAAATATTCTGTTACAGGTCATGTTGTGTTTCAAAACATGTATTTAAAAAATAATTGTGGAAAGAAATCAATGTGAAATATAGTTCTCTTTTTTTCCAGGTTGGTTCTATCATGCACCAGCAAAAAAACAGGTGGGAACAGAGCGCATGGATGCTCCTGCACCTTCACAGATTCCTGGCATTGGTTATGATGACCCGGCGGTAATGGAACCAGAACAAGTCCGAGAGATGATGTTCAAAGAAACTGACTCAAAGTACATCCGCATGGCCAAGATGGGTGGGAGAAAAGGTGCGTCTGCTGACCTTTTTTTTCTAGAATGTAGGCCTACTCCAGCAAATTACATCTTCCCATTCACTATATATAGGCTTACTCTTCAGATTCTAAAGTTGTAGTGGTATCAAACTCATACACATGCGTCTCTTCTCTTCTCATTTTACTGGATTAGAAGTTAAAACCCCAGACCTAATGGTAGTTTCTGTTAATTCTGCTGGACATCATCAGGCAGTCTGGTGTTAATGGGTTTACAGTAGGCCCTATTTAGATTTTTATTTATAATGATATAGAAAAAGAAAAGTTTGGACCAAATAAAGTTATTTTCCTTCGGTAAATCTTTCACCATAAACAAGTTTCTGTCACTTAGGGGCGAAAGAGGATGAAAAAGTTTAAAAAGTAAAAATAAAGTTCCTGTCAAAGGACTCCCTACATAGTGTTAATTATTCTTTCTTTTTTTTCAGATCTGTTGCAGTTTCACCCAGAAAATTATGGAGGGAAAAAGAGTGAGGCTCCTGTAGGCTATCATAGAAATGAGTGGTTCTACTTGGAGGACAACCGCATGGAAGATGAGGAGAAAAAAACTGAGGAAAAGAAGTAAGGATTGACTCAATTTGAATCTGTTTTAAATACTTGTATATCTATTAATAGCATCTTGAGATTAGGACTTATGACTGAGATTGTGTAATTTTTACCAATAGGACTACAGTGAATGTCGGCTACAATTCGCACAAGCATTCCTGGCTTGGAGCATTGAGCATTAGTAAGCTAGAGAAACAGATGTGTCAAAGTCATGTTTTTTTTCTCTGGCTACTGAACAATGATAGGCTAGCCTAGACATAGATCTTCTTAATGAATTGCACACTGGTTTATGATACCAAATGTTGCCATATGCCACGCCCTACACTGACATGCATCTTGTTGCTCACATTGGTTATAATGAACACTCGGATTCAGTTAAACTGAAGATCAAGCCTGACGACTTCATTACATCTGAGTTCCACTGTTCCTTGTAGTTTCCTGAGATAACCCCCGATTTGCGAAAAAGGTGTGATATTTCAACATTTTTACAACTCCTTCATAAAGAATCTTCCTTGAGATATGGGGGGCATTTTTTAAGTTTTGAGCTTAAGTCTCATTCTAACCTTTTACAAGAATCATACTCTATGGATTCTTTGCACATTTTCATTTTGCAGGGAGTGGGAGTTTTTGTTGCCGGAGTATATGGTACACAAGGGCTACAAGCCTTCTTTTGAAAACCCAGCCACCCCACCTTCACGAGGGAGAGCTCCATTTTACACCGAGAAAATAACAGAGGTTGAGAGAGAGCAGCGGGAGGGAAGGTCAGCCACTGACAAGACAGTCAGGATTCCAGAAATTAGAAGACCTGGGTGAGTTTTCTAAAAAAAAGAATTTCTTCTGAATTTGTAGTAGGCCTACAGCAGTTTACTGGCATTAGGTGAAGAATTGTATAGCTTTTTGTAGGGAAAGAAATCCACAATTACTAAGCATTTGAAAATCTACTTTATTTTCATGAATGTTTGTCAATCTTTGAAAAGGAAATGTGCTGCAATTCAAAGGTACTTTTGTCTTCACTTTTCTCAGTTACCCTAAGCTGACAAACCAAGTATGATAATAATGATATACCAATGGGATATTTTGACAAGCAAGTGTTGTAAAAAAAAATGTTCATATGTTACTCAGATGCATAAAGCTTGCTTCAGAAATATAAATCAAGACTCTAAAAACGTTATTAATTAGATAGAAAGAAGTGGCAAGTTAAGAGTCTGACATGCAAAGAAAAAAG